TTTTTCACAATGTTTCATATGAAATGTGATAATGGCCATAACATAGGCTTTTTCTGTGTTGTAAAATATGTCAAATAAATCATGAAATAAAAATCTCATTTTCAACCCAACATGAAATAAATCACTTTGAGTTATTTGTATGTCGTATGATGTGTACACATGCTGTGTGCTTGTGATGTTTAAAATGTAATGATATTTAATTCTACTCACCGTCTGGTGTTCTAAACACTCAACTGTTGCCGTTTTAATCATATTCTCCAACACATCATCTGGTGCTCCCCACTCCACAGCGTACATTAATGGCATCCAGCCGTGCTACGAAAACAAACATTACACTGAATTACGATACAGTTCATACAACTACCAACAATATTTTTTACGCGTTTCATAATTTCAATGGTACGATGATATTCCAATATCATTTAAGAAATACTAAATTATAAATAGTTAAAAATGTATGTTATAATACATACATTCATTTAAATATATTATATTGATTTTATTTACGATAAATTTTTGGTCATTTTTTCACAATTATTAAGATTTAAAATAAGATTAACAAAAATATTGTAATGTTATTTATAAGTGTTTTGGAAAAGGGAATAAGGTACTGTGTCAGTGAAAAGGTCGAGACATAACTTTTACTGTAGTTGTTGAGTCATGGTTTATGTTTAGTATGTTAAAAAATGATATTACTGTACTAATAATAGGCCTTTTACTTAGCATGTCTATATTTTGTTAGTACAGTAGTATAGTAGGCCCCTATTATATTGCCTTGTAAACTGTTTTTGCGTGAACCATGAAATTATTGATAAGCTATTTTGAAAAGGGAGTACGTTACTGTGTCAGTGAATATGTCTAAACATAAACGTATAGTTGTTGGACCATGGTTTGTGTTTAGTATTTAAAAAAAATGATATTTAGCATGTCTATGCTTTGTCAGTACAGTATAGTAGGCCCTATGCCTTGTAAATTGTTCGTGCGTGAACCACGTATTAACATTTTACAAAAACAGGAGAATACTTAACAACGGCACGTGTAAATAATAAAAAAATTTTTTTTTTAAATAATTGTATAGACCTACTCATTAACTAAAATGAAGAGCACGAGTAAAACAAATCTAAGTAGGAACAATTAAAGTTGATAAATCATTTAGTACGAAAGTGCCTAGACTAAATACCGCATGGCCAATTTAGTAGTTTATGCAAAAAATATTAGAACGTATTATTTTTTTACGTCTGTAAAATAATGGTTTTTTTATTGAAACTTTTAACATAATAAAATACACAATGTAAGTAATTTAAATATAATAAATAATATTTTCGAAAAAAAAAATCATTAGTTTATCACCTCTCCCTCGTCACTTTTGGGAAAATTCTTTTGACAGTGACAGTCAGTTATTTAAATATAACAAGTGATTAAATTATTAATATAATACTATTTTTAAAAATTCATTTAATTAATGGACTTTTTCCTGAGAAATGAAAATGATATTAACAATTAAATGATGTGGATTTACTAATGAATTTAGATAAAATATTAACCAGAATAAATCAATATATAAGAACCTAATGCAAAAAAAAAAAAAAAAAACAAAAAAAAAAAACCCCCCTCCCTCATCAATTTGAAAAAAAAAAAGTGATAATCTAATAATTTTCAATTGCATTAAGTTCTTAAGTATTTATTTATTCTGGTCAATATTTCATCAAAATTCATTAGTAAATCCACATCATTTAATTATTGATATCATTTTCATTCCTCCAGAAAAAGTCCATTAATTAAATGAATTTTAAAAAATAGTACTATATTAAATAACTGACTGTCACACCTATTTTAAATTAACCTATATTAGATTAAAATAAATACCGGAGACGAGGTTTATTGTGTTAAGAAACAGGAAAGCATTCCACAACTGACTGATAATTATTTAAGTTTTGACATTTGAAATGAAGAGTGAGACGAATTTCCAATTTAAATCAACCAATACGATATATCATTAAAAAATTATCTAATTAACACATTATAAATTCAAACCCCTCTAATAAGCTAATAAGATTTATTTACTTATGGCCTAAGTTTACTTACAACCATTCATCGCCAATTATTATTAATATTATTTACAACTTAACGAAAAGCATGTGTATTACAAAAATTGTTTACGTTTTTATCCTGTATTTCGTTTTACGAACGCATAGTGCCTCATTAAATCGTTTTGTATACTGTTTTTTGTATTTATATTGTTTTATTTTATAAGCACAGGAAAGCAAATTTCATGTATATTTTTATATGTGACAATAAAATCTATCTTGAATTTTGAATCTTGATATTGAAAGCCATCGATATCGTAGAAGTGCAAGTTCAAATAAATATTGTTGAACTACAGAGGGCGCTAGACTCGTTTTTTTAGTTATCAGGGAAACTTATCAATGCGGAAGTTTATCAACTAACGAACTAATTTGCAGGCCAAATATAAATAAAATGTATATTGGCCACACGGTTTGTACTTAACAAGAATGACAATATGGTTTAATTGAGCATGGTGCATTTTAAACGATTCGAACTTTCTTTATAAAAAGCAATTATTGTTTATATTTCTTTAGTACAGTGTGAATGGTAGAGGATAGTAATAAATGCTCATAATAAAGATATTTTCAATCCCCGAAACCTAAATACCGGGCTGTGTTCAGCGTTAGATAGTTTTACCATTTATTAAGTAAAGTAATAATATTGGTTACAATATTAGAATAATGGTTTGAAGACAAAAACATAAAAATAGACCCCTCGCCTTTGAGATGGCCAAATATTATTCACCAAACATGGCTAAATTAAATAATAAATTTCTGTATAAAAACCATCAATATTGTTTTATTTTCCAAAAACCGAAAGGTCCACTGATTAATCTCAGATAAGAAAGTATAATACATACTCCAAGTATTGAAATACACGCCATCGTGTTGGGATTCAATATTTCGATATTAATTATGTCATCATCAGGAATAAAAATTATCCATTTAGCAAGCTTATATGCACTAGTACCAAAAGTGTTTAACCAATCAAAACATTACCTCTAGTAGGTGACGTAGCAGTGATTTAAACAAAAGATCAAAGCATTCTTACTCTAATGATCAAAGATACCTACAAAAACAAAGAAAGCTCTTTTGAAGCTCTGAGCCCATTGTTAAGCAAAGGGTGTAGTCTACGTATAGCGACACATCTAGATGTGTATAAGAGACAGGGATAGACCAGTTTCGGGAGCTGTCAATAATGTTAGTACTAGAAAATATTAAACCTAATTTATTACTTACATTACAGACGACATTATCATTTTCAAGTATACCCTGTAATCCTAAAACATATTGGAATGCCTCACAGTTTTTAACATGATCAAATATAACACTATCAGATCGTGAAGAATGTTCTTTATTTTAAGTCTAGTTATTAAGCACCTATCTGTCTTACCAATATAATCACTATTGCAGCCTGGACATTTAAAATGATAGACAACATAACTTCTGTACTCCTTAGGGGTTTGATCCTTAGTAGATATAAAATGAGAAACATTTTTATACTGCCATAAAGTTATGAATTTTACCTCTTTAATTAAGTGTTTCTTTACCTTATTTAAACATCTACGAGCTAGTGCATATAAGCTTGCTAATATGGATAATTTTTTCATTCCTGATGATGACATAATTAATGTCGAAATATTGAATCCCAACACGATGGCGTGTATTTCTATACTTGGAGTATGTATTATACTTTCTTATTGTTTTATTTATTATTAGTAAATAAACATCTCTTCATGGTTGGTTAATTTCAGCATGGAAGGGCATTTTATTTTATTTTTTTATTGATTTAATCCGTTGATTTTGTATCTTTATCAATATCTTATTCTGAATTCTCTGATTACAGTAAAACACGATTTATGTTAAATAAAATATTTTCACTAATACTTTTGTCTATAATATGAACACTCATTGGTATAGCTGGCCTACATGCTAAAACTTCTAATTAGATTTAAGGCGCTAAAATATAGAAATGCGAGACAATTACCAAAATGCGAGACAATTACCATTAAAGCTATACAATGGCTGTTAATTATTTTATTTGGGACATTTGAAATGAAGAAAAATGAAATAAATGTATTATAGATTTTGACTATCTAAGTAAAGCGCAATAATACATTACATAAAATTATACAGTAAACGCATTACAATTTGTACGACATATATTGAACTAGAGAGGGCGCTAGACCAATTTATTTAGTTCTCAGTAGAGTCTTCGCGGACGTTTTGATGATTAAGCCACACATTTGTTAGTTAATTAAAGAGAATGACAATTTTGTTTTCAATTCTGTATGGCAGATTAATCTTTTTTAATCATAAAAAACCCAGAAAATAGGTACACATATTTTGTGCAAATAATTGAGATCTTTGTGTTGTGTTGGAACTGCATCTTATTTGAAAAATATGATATAATAAAAATTCTAAAATCAAGAAAATCACGTCATAAATCTAACTTAATACTTGCCTCATCCTGCGTATCAATAAGATGAGGTTCATTTTCAAGGATGTCTGTTACTGCTGGCCAGTCCTCTCTCCTTATAGCCTGTACTAATTTGTTTCTGTGACATAACAAGCAAGGAAATGTATGAATTCTTTTTCTTACAATGTCATTGTAAATACAGTAATTGATTAAACCAGGTTTCTCATGAATATTAATTTTTGACATTACTGTTATACTCATCACCATAAAAAATAGTTACTAACATGTTAATGATTAGATATTTAGCTAAAACAAAATAACTAATCACAAAATTATAATTAAGTTCTTTACAGTAACAACTTTTAATGTGTCTGTCAGTACATAATTGTACTCCTTTTAAGATTATAGTATTAGCTCGTTTACTTAATGTTTACTTGATACAAATTATTACACTAGAGTACTCACTCATCGTCGGGTAGAATTTGTAAAATTATTATACATAATACAGTACTCACTGATCGCTTGGTAGAACGTTCATGGTTGTCGATGGTTTGTGACGTTCGTATTGATCGTGTCGAATAGTGAAATATCTGTGAATAGTGGTACAGCCTTATTTAATTAGAACGAATAAGTCAAAACCTAGCATACACAAACTTTACAATTTCCGAACAACTTGTAGGAACAAAATAGCGAATATTCACAAGCTACGGTACATGATTGGCTGTCCTCGTCACGTGATTTTGAATTATTCCGCTTCTAGTTCCTGTGTGCCTCTACAAATCATTCGGTTGAATACATACGGTAATAAATTTAGAAAATATTGTATCATCAGACATTGTGAGTGAAAATAATCATTATAATAGTAAAAAAAACTATTACAATGATAATTAAATAAAATAATAGGCCTAATAACCATAATCATAAAAATCAATAAAAGTAATAAAATAATAAATGATTGCATTATAGATGTAATGGAAACCTTTGCCTAAACCACTCTCGTCAACTAGGTACGGTACAAGGTACATACCCACACCTGATGACGCCCATTTGTGGCGAGCTCATGGATATATTTTATTATTATTTAATTAACTAATTATTAAAGTATTTTACCAGTTCCTCTGTTTACTAAATTATACTGTTAATTTCTACCAGATCATTTGGCTATGCCAGTGATACCGTTTTAATCCAAGCGGTCTTTAACTATCCAGGCAAAACGCGCATGATAATACGGTACAGCGGACCTATATTCAATTTATAAGTCCAGACCTCTCGGAGAAGGAGATGGGAAGCGCATATCGCAAGTATCGACGGACACATACACTTACCAACCTCTACAATGACATCCCCCTACCGTTCTCCCCTACCGCTCTAAATCTAATGCTGGATATCTATTCACATATAGGAACCGTTGCTTAATCCCGTTTCTGGTATCGACCTAAAAGGTAACGGAAGTGGGTGCGGCAAACGATGTTTAGATAGTAAATGTTTTCTGTCTATCAATCTTTTGGGAAGTGTATTTAAAAAACCTTCTCAATGAAAGTGTTAAAATAGTTAATATAGCAAGTAACCGTTTAATAAAATATACGTACCTTTTAAAACTAAATGGCCTTCGGAAATGTACTGTAGTGTCGATTTGTGCTTGCGTTGTGTTGAGGAACGTGTTGAACAATGATTGGCTCGTTCGACTGTAAGCTAATATTCATACAGCAGTAATAAACGGATCTACGTCACAATAAAATACGTTATTGCTATCAAAATGTATTCAGAATGACTTACCAGATCACGAATTGGAACCATATCTGCGTCGATTTCTGAGCCAACATAGTAATGGCGTTCATAGTAATGGCGGCACTGCAGAAGGAGACGTGGGGGATTTTCTTTACCCAGGTCATATACTTTTCATGCATCCTTAGCATGCAATACGTATAGGCCTATTGTTTTAATGATAGGCCTACTGTAAATGGATAGCTTTCCAAAAAACAAAACAAAAACAACAAAAAAATGATTGTAAATCGTATCAATCTAAAATAGTTGTATGAAAACGTGTCTCTGGTGAGATTCCAAACTGCAAGGCGAGTATCATATCCATTAGACCACATAGACCTACCAGGATACAGGCGAAGATCCAAGCCCCAGGCACTAGTCCTCTCATAGAACTGATGTGGTTAAGCTAGAAAAGCTTGTAGGTCGCAGTACAGTGGCGTACGATACGGTACAGCCAGTACAAAGCATGGGCAAGCGCCCAATTATAAATAGAACTATAAATAATAATTAAAAATAATTTCAAAATTAATTTTGAAGGAAAGAAAGGGAGGGGGCAGCGGGCCCCTCAACGATATTCGGATTTTAGAGTAGTAATTATTGAGTATTGGGTTGGTTTCTATTAACTGGTGTATTCAAGGAGGCCCCAGCCGGCCCGATAGCCTATTTTTTCATGAATTAAAAAAAAATAAAGCATGTTTGTTGCGTGCACTGTCAACACGATACTAATAAAGAAATACTGTATTTCAGTATTTCAATATTTAAACTCGCTTTCAGAACAGTGGAACACACCTGTATACGGTAGTGCGTCCATAGGGCCTAATACAATAGTACAATCAAGTAGCAATTATATAAAGAACACAGATTAAAATAGAAACAAAGGAAACAACAACAGATTGGCGAGAGAGAAAAAAATACAGTATTAAAGATTAGTAGTCAAAAATATTATATAATGGTCAAAATAGAAAAATGATACCAAATGTTTAATAACAATACTCACATTTTATTTGTTTATTAAAAGGCATACAGAACTTACTTTTGATTATAAAATAGACGTGAAGAATATCAGGTAAATTATGAACATAAGATTGGATTAATTTTATACTAAACAGTGAATTCATTGAAAAGGTAGAAATATAGTTAATATTAAAAATAAATATATACAATTAATAATGAGGTATAT